CATTGCATTGTAAACAAATTTAGGAGGTGTTCATTAAACGTACTGTTAAGTCTGATTGGTGCGAAACCGGCAGATACAAACTTGTGAATTTCCCCAGCCAACAATTTGTATGTTCCGAGCATCTTTCCTCATCGGGTGTGTCGTATGAACTTATGGACCAAACCGTCGAACCTAAGGCCGAGAGCATCATGCTCGACGCTTCGGAAGAATGGGCGCGGCCAGCGCACGCTCAGTCAGAGCCCTGGGTATAGTTTGCCACAACCCCTGTGAATGAAACCACAGTCGCTCTTGACACGATCATGTATGGCGACGAGGTAATCGGCAGAACCTCTGAAAGTGAGCGTGCATTCAACACTCGACCTGTCAAAGGGGTGTTGCTTTCCACAAATGCTGCGGACAAAACAGCGGCAGATACAATCATAGCAAAAAGTGACTTGGTTTTGAAGACACATGCGCAGCTAGCGCATGCGAATCGAAAATGAAACTACCATTTTCCTCAAGTTCCGCGCACGAAACCGTGGTCGCAGCAATGCAATCATCAGTAGCAACTAGTCGGGGGCGCGCGACTAACTCAGCAGTAGGTTAAATGCAGTAAAGACATAAAAGATGATAAGAGCATTATGGTGTTGTTATACAAAGAGTCTAGTAACGTTGGTCTTGTCGATCTGCGTACTTTGGCTATACAGTTTAAACCCTTTATAAGAGGCATGCTCCAGGCAGCGATTCTCGTCTCTAGTATAAGATGTATGTTATTAGCAGGGTACCTCGTATGCATTTTCTTATAAACCTGTATTTTACTGTAGGCACACTGTTGTCTCCTATACCCATTGGTCTCTTAATTCAGTGTCTCTTGTAAAGGGGCTTGGCTGTACTTTGGCATTCAGTTTTCGGTTGGCTTCAAGTGAACCTTTGACCTACACCCTCCCGGCAGCGCCGTCGCATCCGTCGACGCTTGCCCTTAGAAGACATGCACGAGTTCTTTAGACAGAAATGGATTTTACTACATGTTTTGGCAACATGAAATTTCGGGAGATACGAGTATTTTTGCCCCTTTTGAGACTTAAACTATCTTTTGTAGTTGGGAAACCCTACCCCCCTCGTGTGTTCGGCCATTCCAAGCCATTATATGACCATAACGCTGATATTTACGGATCCCCCTCCTCATTGTTTTTTTTTTTCTCAATGTTTTTGTTTCGGAGCCAAGGAGGGTGGGGGGGGGGGGGTGCAAATAAATCTGAGCAACTCATCCCCCCATGCTTTGTTGCGGGAATCACCCGGATTCAGAATCCTTAAACTTGGCAGGTACCTAACGTTGCCATATTGGAGTAATTTCAGCTCGAACAGTTACATCAGAGCCAGCCTTAGCTTTAGCAGCCTAGTTTTGTAGCAACATGATGCAGTGGTCTTGAGCGAACACCAGTTGTAATGAAGGTTTTGATCATTGTGCGGATGTGGCCCTCAGGCATTTGGCCACGCTTTGTGCTCACTACGAAGTTTCAGCAGTTGCTTCCATAGTTGAGCAATCTGTCAAATTTTAGTGATTTGCCTTCAATTTGGGCTGTCTTCAAACATTTTAGCACTTGCCATGTGTTCTTTATATTCGCTGTCAATTTTAGTACTCGCCTCATAGTTTTTGCACTTTCATGTCTCAAGTACTGCCTCTTTGGTTCCTGCAAAATTTGTGTTGTGTTGCTTTTGTCTGCTGAGGCCAGCCATTTTTCTTCACCATGTATTTTGTCTCTGTGTCCTGCACTGAAAACCTGAAGTAACTGTGCGTGCATTGTTTTTCCTACTATGTGCTTTATGCAATTGCTCAATTTTTTCCTTTCCTGCTTTTTCATTTACAATTGTTTTGTGCCACCTGTGTACATGTTGCCCTAAAGGGAAAACATTTTCTGCTCAATTAGCACAAAACGAGCATTAAGATTGATTGTAGCTTACCTTGCACATGTGAGGGTTTTTTTGCTTTTGTTATCATTTCGTAATGAATTTCAATCTTTGGTCCTCATTTATTCAGGTAACAATATCATCAGAAAAGAACAGTGCATTCATTTCACCAGTTTAGAGGTACTAGCAGTGTGTCAGGGTAGTTAATATACATACCTTTTGTCTCTTCTGCATCATAGCATTAAATTAGGTGGTTAAATTTTTTGGCTTCTAACCTTAGTTCTGTGCTGAAAGCATGGTGGCATCAGGATTTTTTAAGGGACCGACTACTTTCATTTTCTACCATTGCAGAAAGTATGGCATAAAAAGTACAATGAGCCGTTTTAGTTATCTGTAAATTGTTTCAAAAGCTTCTGCCTTTTTCCTCTCATGACTTTTTGAGCTCTTTTATTTAATAGTACGTGTACAATTCCAAGAGCAGTGACTCGGCACAGTGGTGATATTTTTGTGTAGATTGTTGTATAGTTAGTCGCAGGGTCGGCTGCCTTGTATAGTTGCAGTGCTTGAAAGAACAGCAGCAAACATATTGAGAATACTCCTCTGTAAATGTATTGAAAGTTGTTCAATGGACCTGGTATTTAATAGTATTTCTTTTAAGTAAATTTTTATCCGGCACAGTCTCTACATTGGCCTTTAGTTAACGGAGCTGATGGTAATGGGATGCTGCTGCTGCTACCGCAGCATTTCATCATTTCCCTTTTTCTCATTGTTCCAAATCCACCCTGAGTTGCATCTGCATGACATGCAGAAAGTAAAAAACAGCCGATGTGCCACGCGTTAAGCTTTCAAGGTAGGGCTTGCGACCACTACCATAAGTGTTGGCACCACACATGGTGGACACAGATGTAACACAGTTGTAATTTTGCAAAAAAAAATGGCCCCAGTCTTTTGTTGTGTAACTGGGCGCTTTTGTTAGGATTACCTGAGCTATGAAGAAGCGTCGATTTTTTTTTGCATATATTTCGAAACTAGACCATATTTAATAGAAATACCTTATATTCCTGTATGTAACCCATCTCTGCACATAAGTCACACCCCTAACTTTACTGAAAAAAAAAAAAAAAAAGATTCATGCAACCCCTGAATATAGCCCACACCTCGACTTTTCAAGCACATTTTCTGGTTATTTTGGTGTGGGTGCAAGAAAGTGTGCAAAGTTTTACAGAAGAATTGTGCTATTGTATCGTCATTACAAATTTGGCAGCCTTTTAACGTAGCACCATAGGCAAGACACAATTTTTCTGCCAGTGCTTCATTAAAGTTTGGTTCCATACGTTGGCCAGTGTCACCATCATAGTGTGGTCATTTCTTACAAAGCTGTCCACATGACTTCTTGTCACAGACATCAGCTGCGCATCTGTGTTGTGCTCTGTGGCATAGTTAGCTATCAATGAGACCATTTACAGCATCTCTAACGATGGTTTGGTATCGGTGCTCACAGCTCATAGTGTTCATTGCAAACAACACTCAAGAGATATATCCAGCCTTCGATGCCCTCCTCATGTCAAGTCATTTCTAATGTGATAAATATTACTGTGTGCGATACACTGGTCATGGTACTGTTATACGGTGCACTTGCGAGACTTGTGGAGGGTCCTGTGCTTTTCGCTGTGTCAAACTCCTGTTTGTCAACCATCTCATTCCCCCCTCCCTTTATGGGTTTGAATGGTAGCTGAAGTTTCTTTTGCTGAAAAGTTTTCACTTGATATTTATTAAGGCTCGCATGTTCACGTAAAGCGACTTGCTTTGACGTAGGGATCATTTCCCAGGAGAACATAGGGCATCGTTTCCGAAGGACATGTATAAGATACCATGCACTGATATTTGTCAAGTGTATATTGGCGAAACAGAAAAGTTCTCCTGGCACCTCAATGAGCACCAAAGTGATGTGACTAATAGCAGTCGCACAACAAATGCCATTGCTCAGCATGCATATAAATATGCATGCTGAGAAATGCATTGCATATAAATATAATCACATCATTGATGGTGTCAGTCAATTCCAATCCAGCTCATTGAACAAGGGTCCCACAGTTCTAAAACGACAGATCATTTCATCAGACTTGGCCAGTGACTATATTTTCTGAGCATTTTTCAATGAGCAGGTTTTTTTGTACTATGGGGCTAGCTTTAATAGTGCTAGACGCATCATCATTTAGTAGTCCTACACCTCTGCTTTCTGAAGCGTGAAATTGACACTATCATTGCACATTCATTTTGGTTGTCGGTCCCATTTCATTTTAGGTTACCGCACTTGCGAAACTAAAGGGGGCATTGCTTCCCGCAATTGCTTAGTTAAAGCAATCAGGCTAAGAAGTGTTTTTTTTTATTATTACATTAGTCACTATGTGCTAGTGCAGAGCAGGACTGTTGTGGTTGCATTATTGAAGGGACACTAAAGAGAAATATATTAAGGCTGATCAGTTATTATTGGGAAACACTACTGTCATTGATTTCCCTTTATAGGTTTATGAGCAGAAAATAATATGAAAGTCAGTTGTATTTTCAGTTTTGCACTGTAATCCTGGCTACAGTGGCAGCATTACGTGATGAATCTTAAAGCATATTTTTTTATTTGGATGCTTTGACTCAATAAGATTTCTTGTATCTTTAAGTTCATGGTTTCTTTAGAGAACAATGTACTTCGTTAAGAATTACATTGGCTGAAGCTGGCTCCATGGAAATCTGTGTGGCTGTATCAAGTTGGTGCAGGAAGTTCAATTCAAGGGGGTGTTACCAGCTGAATTTTACGTCTGCGCATTTGTTCACGTACTTGGCATTTTCTTGTGGCAAGAGTTGTGCTTTTAAAATTATGAAAGGGTAATGCTCTTAACACACACACAAAAAAAAACATTTGGTCTCTCTTTAGTGTCTCTTTAAATGACAGCAATACAGAAAACCAAACATGGAAATTCTAAGAACAGAACGCAGGATGAGCTGTGTCAGTCATCGCTACATGCAAGTAGTTGAGAATCTGGACAGCTGCAAAAGATGAGCATTTTATCATCAGTTTGGCAGTGAATGCAACTTGATGTGTGGTCGATGTTGTCCAGGACGGGGAAAACGAAGAGTCTGCCCAAGTCAATGGCGGCTCCCCTCAGAAGGAAGGCGTAGCGGCAGGGGTCAACGACGGTCCAGTGAAAAACATTGAAGCCATCACCGACGTCATCAAGGCTGCCAAGGCCGAACAGCGCCTTCAGCAGCTAAAGCGCCTGAAGCGGGGCTCGGCGCCGGAAGCTCTCGACGAGAAGGACCTGGACTGCCCCGTCTGCGGCAAGCAGTTCTCAAAAAAGTACTACCTGCAACGCCACCTCCAAATGACCGTCTGCTCGGGCAAGCCCCTGCCGTCTCACACCTGCGAGGTGTGTGGGAAAGTCTACTCCCGCAAGGTGAGTGGTGCATGCGACTGCGTGGGCTGTTTGTGGCCTTTGCCACCGCAACAATTTAGCACTGCTTGTCTGCGCACCCTCGTGTTTAGTTTGTCAGTGTGGTATTTGTGCTACTGTAGTTAACCCTGAAATGCCTTTCAGGTGACACTTTGCTTGAAGTTCCACTTGTATAGTGAGTCTCCCCACTAAGTTCCTTTTGAACATAAATTGGGAACAGCGATTATATACTACATCGTGTTACATGTCAGTGTCTTGATTTTACAGAATGTTAGGCTCAGGCATGGCAAGATTTATCGAAGACATTTTTCAAAGTTGCTCTGCTTGGCATTCAACTAAACTTGAGTCGAGAGGTTTTGTGAAATATCGTCATCAAAGAGCGAACATTGTAGAAAAAAAGCTGAGCGTTTCGCGAAATGAGGATCCGTACTTAATGTTGGTACCAGGTGGTTGCACCTGTCGGAACCAAAGTAACTATTTTAAAAGAAAGTTTTGTTTGCGACTTTATATTTATTTGTAGCTTTGCATATGTGCTGAAATTGAATCATAAATGCTCTAATGTATCATATAATTTATGTTGCAATCGTTAATTCCGAACAATTTTGTGTCAGTTTGAAACACCTGCCTAAGTACCATAGGAAATTAGTGCCCCACAGTGGGGCAGCACCTGAGACTGCGTGTTCTCAAGTTTCGGTGACGTGAACGTGCTGTTTTCAAATTAGGGGACTTGCGGGTGGTGAAAAACGCAACCATGTGGATGCTTTGAGCGTTTCCCCCACAGAAAAAAGAAAGCATTCCTGGCTTAAGCAGCCACCAGCCCGACAACTTAGTGAGAGGGGTGACGAACAATAGTGCTCACCGGGTGCCAGTTGGGGTATTGACACTAACTATTCTTGCTTGACTTTTGCAGCATTCCAAGGGGATCCCCTAAGTTGAATCACAGAAAATAGGCCGATTGCACCTGAATACTTGGGACGAGCATGGACCCTTACTTTAGATTCAAATGAAGATATCTTATTGTCAACGCTTGTTACTAATAATCGGTCAGAAGTGCCCTTCGTATGGAGGACTATTAAACAACACAAGCATTCAGTTTCCCGCAGGTCGCGGGATCGAATCCCGGCTGCGGCGACTGAATTTTCGATGGAGGCAAGAATGTTGAGGCCCGTGTGCTCAGATTTGGGTGCACGTTGAAGAACCTCAGGTGGTCCAAATTTCCGGAGCCCTTCACTATGACATCTCTCATAATCATGTGTTGGTTTTAAGACGTTAACCCCCACATATCAATCAATCGCATATCAAATTCAGTTTCCAAATTTGGTGTCAGGGGTCCTTAAAGCTAGGCCCACTTGTCTTAAGGGGAGACACTGGTCTGAAAAATTTTTTTTTTTAATTTTCAGTGTTTCTAGCTGAAATTTTAATACAATATGATTTTCCACAGCTGAAAACAAATATGCAATTAATTTTTTGCTATCACTTTTAGATTTTTAAATACTGACTGTTACATAAACTTGCATTCTGCCCAGCCTTTTGACAACTTCCTCATAAAATACTGCTACAAATTTAATATGACAGCATTCCATGAAGGCCAGTGAGTGGAACAAAACCATAATATTATTTTTAGCTTCATTGGTACCAGAGTTATGGCCTTAACAAATATACTCATTAGAAATCTGAAACTGTTGCTTAAGTTTGTTGCTAATTAAATCACTATTGTAAATAAAAATATTGCATTTTTTTTGTTTTCTTGCACTAATCAATGTATAAGCTTTCAAATGCTGCAAGAATTATCAAAATCCGACTGCTACATCAAAAGATACTGTGGACAATGGCTTAGGGTGTGATGAAAAATGTTGTTTCGAGAAAACGAGAAAAGAAGTTAAGGAACATGCTGAGCACCTATATTTAACAAGAAAAGGTGTGAATCGGCATATTAACCATGTTAGAAGCCACCAGGAATGTAGTCATCATCATTCTCCTTGGTGCGCTTTCTTTTCATGGCATGCTTGAAGTTTTCACCATGCTCATGCTTCTTTTCCGATGCCACTAGTCGGCGACTATCCTTTTCTGAGCATCTTTCAGCGGCCACAACACTCTGCTGCAGGTGCAGCTCCTTCAATATGACGGCATCTGCTCTCCCTTTGCCAGCGTTGAACCTTGCGACAGCTTCGGCCACAGCAGCTTCAACGGTGAAAAGCGACGCGTGTTTGTTTTTGGACACGAGCGACCAGATGACGGAATGCAGGCTCTCGTTTGGGTTCTGTGTTTTGCCTCGCTGACAACGCTCCAGCTATTTCTTGTCTGAGAGGCGCTTGTAAATAGGCCGCAAGGCATCAACCACATACTCCGGCAGGTTGTAGCGATGATTCGGAGGAGTCTCCTGCTTGGCAACAGCCTTGTTGTACTTGCACCATGACTCTTCACCAGTTGGGCAGTGAGAGTGCTGAGGGCTTGCATCAGTAGATTATACATGATAAAAGGTTGCCCAGACAGCATTATTCATGGCTTCAATGCTTCCTTGGTTGCTTTGTGAAGCCCATCTATAATATAACATGAGCTTTGTGACCAGCTCGCCTGTCAGTTTGCCCTTGCTGCCAAGGCTTGGCTTTCCTTCGGCTCTTTGTTTTTGCAGGAGGTTTTGAAGTGCTGTGCCCATGCGCTTATGCACATGGTTGACACAGTCCTCCTTTTCTATTGGCACGAAGCCATATACCTGTGCCTCCTGCAGATTGTTGAAGGCCCGGCTGTCTCCATCACACAACATGGTTGTGTAGCGGAGCCCATGTCTCTCCAATGAGCGCCAAATAAAATTTGTGCTGCTTCCACCTCCATTTGTCCTGGCTTACTAGAGGTATTCTTTTGGCAAGTGTGACCAGCTAGCCACTCTGCATACCTTGGGTTGTCCTCCTTCGGCCCTAGCTGGCAGCCCAAAGAAAAGTTCGATAGGACGACGAAGTTGAGCACATAACCCGTGAATAGTTCAATCACGGTCCCTACACAAATATGGGATGAGTGGCCCCTGGTCAGCCAAGTCCCATCAAAGGAAACGGCGATGTTTCCAGGATTTCCATAGTTGAGTTCGGAATACACCGTTTTCACGGTGCTCGCGCAGTCGTCAATAACGCGCGCGGCAGCCTTCTGCGCGGCAGGGTTCATTTTCAATTTCACATAATCCTGGTATCTCTTGGTGTGCAGGCCTCTCCGTGAAATATTTAGGGTGGAAAAAATATCGTTGAGTGCAGTTTGCCCGTTTCCTGTGCTCATTGCCGCGCGAACCGCGAGCACGTTAATTTCGAAGGGGCCGTGCGCTGCGTCCCCCCCCCTGCTCTCGGCGAGCTCCATACGGTCCTCAGTTTACCGCACTCGTCACATGTGAGAACAAGTTTCGCGGCTATGCCATATTCGCGGTCTTCCTTGGAGATTCTGCCAGGCCTGCCACACACACCGCACTTCATACACTGAAGAAGTTCGTTGACCAACTCTAAGCTAACGACGGTGAACGGCATACCAGACGTTGCGGCTTCATCCGAGTCTCGAAAAAAAGACTGCTTGCGTTTTGTGGCAGACTTCGATGAAAGATCTTGCAGAACATCGCTCGCACGACACTCGATGGCCACTTTTTCAGCGTCGGAAACCAGGGGAGTGTCGTCGCGCACAGCTCTCATGTGATCTTGGGACGCGGCTATCGCGTCCGCGATCGCGGGTGCGGCGGCGGTAATAGCGCTGGCACAGCCTGCTTCTCCCGAGTTCTCGGCGGCAGAAGGTCTTGCTAATGATAAGGTGCGGGCTCTCGGACGCCATTTTCGCCTTTTTCCGAACGCGTGAGCACTCCGGAACTTCCGATGACCACCTGCCATTGCACCGAATGCACAGCCATTGTTAGGCCTCTACGCAAAATGGCGGCTTGCACGCCGCTGTCTAGCAGACGAATCCCTTCACGTCCAATAGGAAACCGGGAACTGCCCCACGTGACAAAAACGCACCAATGATGTGCGAGTATTCAGTTTTTCTTTATGCGCGATAGCTGCGTTGTTGCTAGACAAAAAACGTTCGTCTGCTAAAAGCAGATAATAGAAAAATGCGCCTATAAAATGAGATTAAAATGGCCGCGCTACTTGGTGCGGTTCTCGCGCGCTGTGGCATTGAATACGACCGTTTTTGAGGTGGTTTCGAAAGCGAAAATGGTCATCAAACTGACTTTGCGACCCAATAACTCGGCAAATATGCATTACAGGGCTATAATATTTTAGGAACAGCTTCCTTAGACCTTAATGATTATGAAAAAAAAAAATACTACCACAATGATACATGCCAAACTTTAATGGGAGGCCTATTCAATATGACACAGAAGTTAAACATTAACAAGTTAAGACGTGTGTTGTTATTTTAGGACTTTATGTTCACTAAACTCTTCTTCAGTGGTTAACGATTAAGGGAAGAAATAAGGGTTAATATTTTATTTTTGACACTTGCGCCAAATTGATTGATATGTGGTGTTTAACGTCCCAAAACCACTATATGATTATGAGAGACGCCGTAGTGGAGGGCTCCGGAAATTTAGACCACCTGGGGTTCTTTAACGTGCACCCAAATCTGAGCACACGGGCCTACAACATTTCCGCCTCCATCGGAAATGCAGCCGCCGCAGCCGGGATTCGAACCCGCGCCCTGCGGGTCAGCAGCCGAGTACCTTAGCCACTAGACCACCGCGGCGGGGCGTCACTTGCGCCAAAACCTGATCACACAATCGTCTTTGTGATACAGGAAACTTCAGTCATTTTGCCTGTATTGGCTTCGTTGGTTAAACGAAATTTCGTCTTACTTGATATGCTCAGACCTTGGGCCACTCGAAACACCTGTAAATAATTTTTACATATAAGGAATTACATAGGACTCAATATACACCATAGAAATCTGTTTTCTCACAAGCTCGTGCCGATTATTCGATGCACCGTTGACACCCGTATTTTTTGTTGGTGCATTGTCTTTGTTACCCAGTATCTTCTCATGGCAAGAGTAATGCTCTATATCATTTAGTTGTAGTTTACTGAAAGGGAAAAAGTTGTTTTTCACTGCAGTGTACCTCTAAAGGAGCACTGACAGCAAAATTGTCTGTTCTCATTTTTTTGCATCAAACGAAGGGATGAGACTTCAAGAGCCTAGAAGATGTTCTGGTAAGCATGACTGTGCAGCAAAGTTGTAGTTGCAGTGTTTTTAAAAGCTAGTTTTGGTTCCTACTGTACCCTGACGTCGTAACACAGAATTGATGTTTCCATGATGTTCCACTCAGTGTCTCCATTGGTGATGTACAAGTGGTCCTATTGGTGTTTTTTTATGCCTGATGCCATCACTAGTAGCTAGACCGGTGCGTGAAGCGCATAGTTTCTCACAAAACTACCTAGAGGGGAATGTGGCACCACTATCTATACGGTTTTTTCTCCCTCTCTCTCTCCCGCTCTCTCCCTATCTTTTTTTTTTTTTTAGGCGTTAGGAATGACGGTATATGTATCTCCGAGGCTTGTGTTGGCTGGTGTTGAGCGAGGCTTCGGCTCAAAAGTGAATACGACTGCATAAATAAAGCTTCGCTAGAACAAAAACTATTTAAGTGGATCTCATCCACTCCTATTATATTCTTAAATAAAAGTCTACTCACCTTGACGACACAACCAAACGGCCAAAAAAAAAAAAGAACAGATGAGGTTAAGTGGCAGAGGGAACACTTGCTTTGTCGTCTACCTGCCAAGTTTAGCGGCCGTTGGTTACTTCTTATGCTTCGTAAAATTTCACATCGACGAAAAAAGTTCCAGTGTTGAATAAAACACGTTTTATACAATGACAAAACATAAGTAGTTTATTACGTGTTTTTTTTTAGTAAGAAACCAACCGTTTTAATGTGAAGCCAGACGCGTCATCGAGGTATACTGATCCGAGTCAAGTTCAGAGCTCACATATCCCGGCATTTCTTTGCATCCAGAAGCTCACTAGGGCCAAATTTCTCTGTAGGTAATTTTGTGAGAAACTTTATAGTGAAGCCACCACAATTACTAATGCAGCCTGAGGATAGTATCGATGTTACTATTTGTGCCATGTGAAAGTTTAAAATGAGAATATAATATCTTATCGTCATTTGCTCAAACCCACACTTGCTAAGAGCAATCTCTGTACACAGAAGAACTTATGATGGTGTAAACTCGGCTTCGAAAATTGGTGTCAGTGCCCCTTTAAAACAGCTCTCAAACATCCACCTCATAAAATTGTGCTCATTGTGAGATAGTCGTGTGCCTTCTCACCTTTTCCAGGACAACCTTCGTGAGCACCTGCGCGCACACGCTGGCGAGGTGACGCGAAGGAAAAAGTACAAGTGCGATCACTGTGGCAAGACCTTCCACGGCATCTCGCTCCTCAAGATCCACATCCGTGTGCACACGGGCGAGCGGCCCTTCCCCTGCGACTTTTGCAGCAAGGGTTTCCCGTCGGTCACAGCCCTGAACAAGCACCGGCGCATCCACACTGGCGAGAAACCGTACGCATGTGCCGAGTGCGGCATGCGGTTTTCGCTCAAGGGCACGCTCAACCGCCACACTCGCATCCACACGGGAATCCGACCGCACAAGTGTCCCTACTGTGGCAAGGAGTTCATCCAGGGTGGCGGACTAAAGGCACACCTGTTCCACCACACGGGCATGAATGGCTTCAAGTGTACTGTCTGTGACAAGGCAAGTAGTTTTGCAATGCCTGCTTTCTTCATATGAAAGTGCTCCTGTAAGGAAACACTTGAGTATCACAGCGTATGTGCAAGCCCTCTGTTCTGGCAGCTTAGACAACATATTGAATTGTTTTTTATACACATGATGTACGAGTTGATATATGTTGGAGACGAGTCATACCTGTTTCCTTCCTTTGCTTTTTTTACTACATCGTGATGCAAGGATGAATTTGCAAAGGTTGGTAGTTTTGTGCTAGATAAATGATAGCTGCAATGTCGGATCTGTGTGTTATTTGTACCAGTGCTGTTCTGCAGTATGTAAGAAGAAAATAGACTGCTGAGTGTGTTTGGCATAGTGTCGTGCCTGATGTTAACATTTGTGGGTACACTTCTCTGATAGGCACCCCAAACCTATATATGCAGCAGACCTTGCTTAAGGCGCCAGAAGGTTATTTCTTATAGAACGTAACTTACGAGCGTAACAGTACATTTTCGCAGCGTTATTATGAGCGTAACAGTACATTATGAGCTGTTAGCGATACAGTAAAAACTCGTTAGCCTGGATCTGACAGGACTGGTGAAAATGTCCAAGTCGACCATCAAAACAAAAGGAAAATGTACTCAGCACACACAAACCTTTGTTTCATGAAAAACTGCGTCAACTTAGTCTGCCTCATCATCGAAATTAGAGCTAGAATGATCTTCTTCAACCCCATGTGGTGGTGGTGTGCACGGCCGCTGTCGCGAGAACTGATGCAGAACTCCGCGAGGACAGCTAGAGCTTCGGCGGCCTCCTGCACGGTGCAATGTCGCGTCGGATCATCTTGAATGTCATCATCGGAGCAGCGATTCTGATCACCTTCAAGCACTTCCGATAATATGTCATCAGTCAGCGAACCAGCAACGGCCACACCACCATCAACGTGCACGAACACAGCCTGAGAACGTAACGACGGTTTCTGTGTCAAAACGCCAACTCGCCCAACAGTCAACTCTTTTTGTACCCGAGCTGCACACGCTATGCGCGAAGTGACTACGCGAAGAAATCAGTAGCGTGGGCGTCGCGGGCAAACTGGCGGCTGTGCAAACTGTCCCATGCAGTGCATTTCGCAGACACTGGATGCACAGGCGGCCCAAGCACTTCCACCGGGTGGTGACTGGCGCCATTTGGCCACTTCCCCCCTCATTGACTATTATCATACTCTGCTGCTGTTCGTTTGATTTTTCCAAAACTTCGGTTCCGCCGTCGGTTACGGCGGCAGAGCCAGGACTTCATGCTTTTCGTAACCGGAATCGGTTACCGAAAGCATAAAGCCCCGATAGCCCTCTCTGGAATCATCCGAGTTAACCGGTGCGCGTCCGAATTCCTCCGAATTACCGAGCATTTGACACTATCGAAATATACAACGTTTTGCCGGGACCGCGCGGCGTGTCTGAGTTAACCGAATTTCCAAGTTAACAAGATCTAGATAAACAAGCTTTTACTGTATATGCAACATATGCTCATGGCTAGATTTCATGCATCATGCACAGGTGTTCAACCGGAAGGCTCGACTAGACCTGCACATGAAGTACCTGCACCTGAAGGAGAAACCACACGTGTGCGAGGACTGTGGCAAGGGTTTCACTCGGCGGGAGGACTTGAACCGTCACTCGGTGCTGCACACCGGCGAGAAGCCCTTCCAGTGCCCGACATGCCACAAGCGCTTTGCCATCAAGCCCTCGCTCAAGATCCACATGGTGACCCACACCAAGGAGGAGCCCAGGTCGTGCCATGAGTGTGGCCGTGCCTTCATCCGCAAGGACTGCCTGATGCGGCACATGCGCAAGCGCCACCGTGATCTGCTCGACCGCATCCTGCTCGACGAGGAGGACAACCGCTTTGCTCCGACGCCCATTTCCACTCCAGGGGGCACGGCCAACACGGACGGTGCCAGCAAGATGGGCATCCAGGCGGGCACCGTAGCCAGGATCCTGTCAGAACAGGTGCGTGCTCTTGCTTTGTTAGTTTCTAGTGCATATTGTAGCAGCAGAGCTGTTCTAGAGCTGCACCTGACGACTAACAAATGCCAAGGATAGACATGCTCTGGTTCCTAGATACACCCATAGATTGCGTAACTGCTTTGGTCGCTGCTGAAGTGATGGTCGCAGACTAGAAATTGGGAAGTGCAGCTCGAGCAAGCCATAATGTGTGGTGGACACAAACCAAAAACCTAGTGGCGATTGTGCCGTAGGCCTCGTGATGGAATAGAGTGGTTGTCTGGGGTAACAGTTCTAAAAATGTGTAAGCATGCCGTTCTCTACTCTACAAGTCATCTTCACTATAGAAGTAATGTAATCGTAGACAATCGCACAAAATCGCATAACATGACAATATATTGCACAAACAGAGAAGGGAAGCACAGGAAAGCCACAACTCTGCTGTTTGTGCAGATACCGTATTTTCTCGCATATAACCTGCGCCCCCAACTTTGAACACCCCGAAAAAAGAAAAAAAAAAGCGTCGCGTGTAACTCGCATACTTAGCTTTAATAAAAAACTTTTTTGGGGAAGTCACAACTGCACAGCACATTGCAACCTCGTTTACAAAAAAACTTTATTTCGAAGCGATCACTGCAACATTGACGGCGCCGATTCCAATTCCTTCGATCATCGCCCGACTCGCTGCTGTCGCTGCTGCCATCTGAGGCTTCGTCGCCGCTCTCGAAGACGCAATCGTCTTCAGTACCATTCAAGCAATTGCTGACGGCGCACTTTTTAAAGCTCTTGTGCACCATGTCGACCAGAATCGCCCCCTGCGCATCCACGATCCACTGACAAAATGGGGGTAGGGACTAAAGTGCGCACTTCTCCTTGCGTGCATTTTCAAGAGAGCCCCCCCCCCCCCCCCCCCCCCCCCCTTTTTTTTTTTTTTGCCAGTAGCAAACGCAAGACTCATCGACGTCGTGCCTATTAACAGCAGCTCTGTTGCCGATTTCTTCCGCAGCAGCTATAATATTGAGTTTTCCTTTCGCGGTGAAAGATTGCCACCGAGACCTACTTACTCATGGTGCCTCACTAGACAAGGCTGACCAACTGTGCAAACTGGCCATATCTGACTCGGAGAAAGACGGTCAAATCGCTGTTGTGACGCTGCTGACCAAATCAAACAAAGCACGCAAAAAGTGAATAAACATGCAACGGAGGGGATCTTTCTATGGCCTGTGTTGGCTTTTATTGGCTTTGCACCAGACGATGCCAATGGGGATGCAGACTGCACAGGAGGCCATGCATTGACGGGAAGCCGACCTCTGCTTCTTGATTATTCACAGATAACTCGCACTCCCACTTTTCAGGCGATTTTTTTTTTTTCAATTTTTGGTGCAAGTTTTATGCAATAAAGTACGATATCACATTCGATCGAACTTAGGTAATTTTTTGTTGCTGCTAAGAGTTGTTCACTAGGTCAAATACTGCACACCAATATTGTCGGGCTTGCAAAAGGATTGGATTGAGAGAGATGGGAGACTGGCGTGGCAAAACAAACACACTTTATACAAATGACAGATGAAGCAAATACACGAAATTCGCGTTAATGCACTCAAATTCACTAACATTATATGTACACACCAGTCTGCTATAGACTGAAACCAAAACTAACGACAATTTGCATTGAAGGCGACTCTAGTATTAGCCGGTAGCTATCCAAGATGGCGTTTCAGTACTGAAACGTTCTTACAGTTCGTCGTGTTGCCACATTGACTTGGTGCTCTCGCTGTGTCGACGGTTCGTTGCTTCTGTCATCGACATCTTTCCCAAGTTCATACCGTCGTTGTCCTCTTTCGCCGAACGAGCCGCTCGACCTCATTGCCGGTTGGTTGCGGTCTTCGTTGTGTTCTCCGGCTCAGTTAGACTATGCCTAACTCGACAATGGCGTGTTGACTGTAGTGCGGGCCCACATTCGTCCTGGCTCGAAGCGAAAGTGTTGTAGTCAACCTAGGAACCGCTGTGACAGGTTTCAGTAAGTCCGGGCAGCCTCACTCAGATCTTTCAAGATCAACAACCACCTCCCAGGCCTCTTATGCCAACATCCTTCAGAACCAGACTGTTTTCGTCACTGTAGTGACGCTGACCTTCCTAACCTTCACAGTTTGAAGCTCCACAGCACATTCTTCGTGATTTTTCATCACAGCTTGGGTCGCGTGCCACGAGCCTTTTTCTGACCAATCTCGTATATGAATGTGGCGTGTCTGCACCATCGGGGATCTCGCACATAGATGCCGCATTCTAGTGCCTGGCTTGTGCCTCATGACCTTTTACTAATGACAAATATGCTAAGCAGAGAAGAGGCCATTGAGCAGGGGTAAAACAGCTCCACTCTTTCTGTCATTGTGCACCAACCTTGCTTACCTGTGCAACATCTGCTGCACCAAACTCGTTTATCAGTGTGGTACTACGCCTCGGCATCCAAAATTAACTGCAAAGTACGATGGCCATCTAGTCCCGCACCTAAAGTTGTGGGCGAAACATTGTGTTTTCAGTTTCATCAAAATGGTTACAGTTTCTGTTTTGTCAAGGCATTGATCACTCAAAGAGTACCTGTCAACATTGATTCTAAAGCCTGTTTCGAGTGCGATTGACTGAGCTGCGAGGCCCGCAGCAATCGAGTTCCATCCGGACACTGCACAATGTCATGTGCACCGCTTTTGTGCGGCGTCGGTCTCTACAATGCACAATGATGGTTGTGTGAACCTCACGTTGGCCATGTGTTTCCTTTCTCGGAGTTTGTTTTGGTGCGCTTGGGTTCCACGTTTTACTAGCCTTCTACTTCAGTGCTCGATTTTCCTACGACTACACCTTGACTGATGTAAATAGAGTGGAACCCCGCTGTTACATTCCTCACTGCAGCGTTTTCTTAGTTGTTACGTTGTCTTTCATCGGTCCCAGCATAGCTCTCATAGAATCACATGTATTGTAAACGCTGCTGTTATGTCACAACTGTGAGAATGTTCCTGGATGATGTGTCGCAACCTAGTCCGTCGAACCTGCCCGGGCTCGGGTATTTTGATTTGACATTTGACATTCTTGGCCTGGCTTGACTACAGAACAGGCTGCAAGAAGCTGCAGACAAGATGAAGAAGCCGCCCTTACATGGCCATTTGTGGAAAGTTCTATCACCATCATCACTGTGCTTACAACGGAAGTTTCACTACGGAATGCCGGAAGTGCAAGACAGTCCGACCACCGCACATTCTTTAGTGGCTGTTGTACGCGCCAAACCTGTTACCGTTGAACTTGTCAACACAGTCTTTGTCAAGCCTTAATGGCGTCGCGTAAGCTGAAAGCACTTTCCCTATTGAAGAACAATGGGAGGTTCTTCTTTGCAGCACCGACAGGGACATCCAAACACAAATTCTGGAATGAGCGCAAGACGTGGTCGAGAGGCACGGCCAGGCAGCCTACTTGGCTTAGCCTCCCTCATACCTCACCCTTTTGATGAATAAATGTTGTCACTCACACACTTTCCTTGAGGAAAATCTGGACATACTTAAAGCAATCTACAAGGAGCCAGTGCGAAAAAGGGTCAACATTGCCAAAGACCTTGGGCAGCCACCGTCAACGCTCAACAGCATCGTCTCGAAGCATGCCTAGATTGAAGGGAATGCCACTATCTTCAGCCAGAAAGCCAAGCAAGCTCGTGGCGCCAGGCACGGGAACCTCGATGAGGCTTTTCTCGCCTGGTTCGAGCACGTTCGCGCTTCCAGTATCAACTTTGACGGCAGCATTTTACGTGAGAAGGCAATGGAAATAGACAACAGACTGGGCATTGCTGATTTTGCGGTGTCGAATGGCTGGATCGACCGTTTGCGCAAGAGGCACGGCATCACTTACAAAACAATAAGCGGAGAAGCGGCAAGTGCGAATGTGGAAACAGGCAATAATTGTAAGATACATTATCTGCTTTAATCGAGGAGTACGAGCCTCGTGATATTTACAACGCTGACAAAATAGGCCTCTTTCATGTGCAGCCATCGAAATCGTTAAGCCTGAAGGGCAAAGTGTGCCACAGAGGCAAATGCAGCACAGACTGACTGGCGGTGCTTCTTTGCTGCAATAGGGACGGCTCGGACAAACTAAAACCGTAAGTGATTGGCAAGTTTAAAAACAGAAGGTGCTTGAAAAACATTCGCTTGCTGGCATGCTACTACAGAAGTATAACAGTCGTGCGTGGATGACGTGCGCTTTGTTTCAACAGTTTCTTCGATAATAAGATGGGTTCACAGTGCAGGAGGGTTCTCCTTTTCCTGAACAATTTGTGCTGCCCATCCGAGAGATCTGCAGTTTCTACAAAATGTCAAATTTTTGTTTTGTTTTTGTTTTTTCCGCCGACAAGTCGTTTGCAACCGTTGAATGCCATGGTTATAAAATGCGTGAACCATTCATACAGAAAAAGCATTGTCAAGTGCTATCTCGCGCGTCTTGATCGTGGACAGCAGCCTATGACAATTTTAATGCTCGTCGCCATGCATTATGTCGCATCAGCGTGGAGTGCAGTGAGCACATCGACTGTAGTGCACGGCTTCGTGAGGTGTAGGTTTCGTATAGATAGCGAAGAAGAGCTTGCGATCGAAGCTCAAGAATCGGTAGCAGTCTCTTGTGAGCAAGAATTAATTGACACAATAAATGCTCTGAGTGCCACGGATACGACGTACGATGACTACGTCGTTGTGGGTGCTGCCGTCGTCATGTTGGAGTGCCAGCCAATTGCAGAGATCGTTGCAAACTTTATGGCAACTGAAGACGAGAAGATCGATGATGACGACGAGCACAAGCCACACGATTCTGAGGAGTTGGCAGATCTCAACTTTGGAGAAGCCATCGCGGCCCTGAACTACTTTCGCAGGTACGTCGCACACCAAAGCGACGCTGAAAGCAATGCGGCCTTCCAAATTATTGAGAAATGCATGGTGCTTACCAGTTTGTGAAAGAAGCGGCAGTCAACTTTC